TAGAGCAGTCCAACTCTCTAACCATTATGATCATACCTCTGCATGATCAACTCCCTCCCATGGGACTCACTAGTACTTGCATTCAAACTTTTTCCTCAATAGTACACAGCTCCCATATGCCGATGACCAAGGCTTTCATCCGATGCAAAATTTGATGTATGCACGGAAGGCCCGCCTTTGCAGTACCATGGCCTTCACTCATTGAATCCATAGCCCTTCTTGTCATTATGTTATTCACCGAAGTGGAGCTCCAAGTAGCTCCCGATCATACCTTTGTATGATCTAGTCTTGCTAGTCATACTTTCGTATGATCTAGTCCCTCCGTATGATCTAGTCCCTCGTGGGATTGAGTTGTGTATATCGCATTGCCATGAACTGTTCCACCACAATCCGTTGTACCATATCGCCTCCTGGAGACATCTCTATTACATTCTGATAGTTGTGAGATGAACTCGGATTGTGATCCCTCTATGTGTGGCCTTTGCCAATATATCATAGAGCATCTTCTACCTTTCATCGTGTTTGCTCCTTTGGCAATTAACCTTCGTCCACCCGCTCTCGGGTCACACCCAGATGAAGCACAGCTCTAGGACAATCTATTGCATAGTAGCTCCTGAAGTCCACCGACTTCGTTGAAATTGGTGCACCATTGTTTAGATCCAAGGCCTCGACCCCAACCAGCACAATCTCCACTGCACTCTGCTTCCTTCATGGTAACTTGACTGGTAGCACTATGGCATATTCTTTAAGAGTACATGCCTCCACATCCTCTTACCCCGTGCCAAGGCCTTTTGAACCTTACTTCACCTCCGCAAGTTGATTTGCTTTGGTTCCTCCGTCAAGTGTTTCTCCAAGATAAGGTGCATGTACCTCGGAGCTCCATTCATCTTTGGCACCATGCAAGATGAGTTCGATCCATCAGAATGAAGGACCCATGGAACGATATGATCCCGCTCTTGCCTCTACAAAAGTTTATATCCTTGACCTCTGTCTAAGGAAAGCTTCATGCCTCAACTCTATGTTTCATCTTCTATGTCGACTCCCTTCATATGGCTTGGGTACTTCACCAAGTTACACCCAAGTTGCTCTACTCCTCGATTTGCATTGAGTTGATGGTGACCCTTGCGCGCACCATTCTATTGGTTAGCCCTCCATTGAGTTTAATCTTCATATCGACCTTTATCTTGCGTTTTCCTGGGTTACTCCTCCACTTGATCTCGTAATGCATCCCCCCAATGCATTATCTCAAGCGATATCAGATGATGACTCCTCGTCGCTCACTCGGTCCGTTGAGTTTTGTGGAGTTATTTTTGAGGTACTCCTCCTCAACATGTGTGATCCATTGCACATGATTCTCCCTCTTGAGAGCCGAGACTTATCCCTCCTGGATATCTATCCCTTTGAAGCAACTCTTCTCTTCGTATCCTTCCCTATGAAAATTTTCGAAGACCATTATCCCCTTAGACTACTCCGCCATGCTGAACAAACTATGCATTGTTCTACCCCTACAAACACACTTGTTAGATTGCGACTCCTCATCAATTTAACCCCCATTGCACCCCTCAAGGCCTAGCAATATGCTGAACTCGCTGCACACTTTAGCCTTCTACGAACGTATCCTTCTCATGTGGAAGAAAAAGTTTTAATGCTTCATGGCGTCGAGTTTCGACCGCCTTGGGATGGCCACGAATATTCCATCGTTCATATACAATCCCTTGCATGAGTATCGAATTCTTTGAGTTAGCAATTTCCCTCACCTCTATGAGCTTTGCACAACTCTTTCGGTCGTTGAACAACTCATTCCACCTTGCTTGGTCTCATCTTTTACCAAGCATCTCGCTTGCCTTGAGCACTATCAAGTATAGTTGCCAACATCGAGCCGTAGCTTGAACTCAGCTATCCCAAACTTTGTGCGCTATGCATTCTTCCAAGCTTATTTGTCCTCATGGTGTCTTTTGCGTGAAGAGTTAGTCATTCCTTTGAATGTCAATTTCAGATGTCCGCTCCTCTGAACGACTCATTTTTCCTATATCTTCATGCCTGTTTCTTCAAACTGTTGCATATGTTAGCTGCCCTCGATGTAGCCCTACTATGTCCCCCACATTTGTATGCTAAGTATTTCTATGAGTTCTTGTCCTGCTCTGATACCATATGTCACGCACTTAGTTGATTTTGCCTAAGTCGTGCGATACTTTTGCGTGTCCGTATATAAGAGTCGGTCTTCCCGAAATCTCTTATAGTCCCTTAGGATCTACAAAAAAGAAAACGGATTAGAGAAAACGTCTCACTCGAGATCCACAAGTAATCATTTAAGTAAACACTACGTTGTACAACAAAGGATCTAAAATGGTCAACTATAAACCAAAATCTCTCTTAAGTGTCCATATGACGCAACCTATATTTATAAACCTAAGATGACACAACCTATATTTATAAGCTGTTAATCCTTCGATCGTCCCTCTACAACAAACCAAAAAACATTCGATACAAAAAAAAACACGAATATATATTCGAATACCGCCGATCAGAAGCCGATGAGACGGAGCAATCTTTAATTTTGATAGACAAAAGTATGACGTAATATGTGGGGACAAAAGTGTGACGTAGTATGTGGGATGTTTCCTTGGTGGCCCCTCGCACAAGGAAGCTATCAACTCTATAAATTAAGAGCTCAGGAGGCATGTATCTTCACCATCCTCGGAAACCCCCCCGCCCCACCCCCAAAACACTTACTCTAGTCTATATAGCACATATGATTCACGGTAAGCAAATTAGAACCTATCTCTTTTGTGTCACATCTCGATCTTAGCTTTTTCTCTACATGCAAACATTTCTCGTTTACTTGATGTGTTTTAATCAGCATTTCTAGTGTCTCTTTGGATGCTACGATAAAATACCATAGTTTGATCTAGCAACTCATTATAGTCCGATTCTTATGAAACAAAAGCATCGATTTGCAAGAAGGAAAAGGAAAATAGACACTTATTATTATCTATTTTTTATCTTTTATAGGACCATAATATTGATGGAAGAATAAGGATTAATAAGAAGATGAGAATAAATCTATAATCTATAATCTAATCTAGATATATTAGATTATAGATTATTAGGAGAGAGCAAGGAACATAGATAGATAATTATGAGAGTTTCTCTCATCAACATCATATCTAAAGAATCCTAATAAAGTGGATTTTCATTCTATTAGAACTTTAATATCTCTTAACTAATTAAATAAGGGTCATATAATCTAATATTTTTTTAGTTAGCTCATTAACTAATAATATATAAAATAAAATGATTCAAAATTAAAATTAATAAAATAAAATTTATTTAAAAATTATTGTACCTAATTAGATTCTGAAATTTTAAAAAATATTTTATACGTATGTACGAACTTTATAAAACATGCCAATAAGTCCAATAAAAATAATAATATCACATTAAATCTAACAAACAATTGAAGTCATAGTTATTGTATATTATCAATATCATACTCTCTTTTCTGTATCACAATACTATTGGTCTTTCTTAATACAATCTATAATATTTTTGTTAACTTATCTTTTTAATATAATTTTATTATTATATTCAACCATAATATGCATATAAATAAATATAAATAGGACAACAAAAATAAATAACTTTAAGTAAGTAAAAAAATATTAATAATAATGTTCACTTAAGAATGTATCATCATATATTTTTTGTATTACTTATAAACCTTATTCTAAAAACATGCTCTTTGATCTTATATTGCAAAGCCATACTAAATGGGTTAACAACCAATATAGTGAAACTTAGAAAATTAATTGACACTTGTTATTTCTAAACCGTCATCAAGCACTTTATACTAATATGCTTAGATATGATTCAATCAAATTAACGTTTTTAGTGAAGTCTTTTTATTCTGTGCGATAAACTAAAGTTACTATTGGTAAACAAAATATCATTCATATATAAGACTAATATAATAAAATAAATTTCAATGACCTTCAAATATATATATTGATCAATAATATTTTTATTAAATCTAAAGAAAATAATAATATCATGAAACTTTATATACTATTGTTTCGAAGCTTGTATGAGGTCATAAAGAAATTTCATAAGTTGGTAAGCCAATTTTTACTTTTCCTTCTCTACAAATATATCTAGATTCTTGTTTAGAAAAATTATTTTTACATCTATTTGATATAATTCAATATCATAATAAGCTATCAATACCATAACAATTCTTAATGAATCCTTTCAAAAACTAGTCTCGTTATGATTGATACTATTATTTAAGGAAAAAATCTTCGACCATAAATCTAGTTTTATTATCTAATATTGTCATTTGAATCATATTTACTCTTAAAGACTAATTTATAACTGATTTATTTATAATTGTTAGGCAATTTGACAAGTTCCCGAACATAATTTTAGTTTATTGATTTTAACTTTCTTTCATTGGATCTATCATATTTTCAAAATTATTATTTTTCATAGTTTGTGAAAATAATAATAGTTCATTTGGATTCTCATATTATAATATAATTTTTATAGATATACCATATAATTATCAAAATGACAAGTCTTTTCTTCAAGATATTCTTAATATAGTTGATTAGTTGATCAATCATGCTCATCATGCCACTAAACATTTTGATCTTTGGAGGAATTCATTTTCATTTCATCAATTAAATTCTCTATTTTTATTTTGTAAACAAATTATAGGAATAGGATGACACATTAAATTAGAATACGATTATCATCTACCATCGTATTCACTTCTATTTTGTGTTATTAAAACTTTAATATTTTATCAAACCAGACTCAATCTTATCAGCTTTTTTATAAATTAATTCAAGACTTTTCAAAAGATATAACTTTAATCTTCACGTTCACAGTACACTAATGGCATGTTTTAAAAATTAAGTCGATGGATGAGTGAAATTTATAGCCGATCATTCTAACATACGCAGAGAGTTGTATTGAATCTGTTTATACATGTAGGTTTTCTGTATTGTTTTGTCTGGATCAGATATGGTGAGCGCCAGCGTGCGTGCAATTTAGACTCGCCGTTTCTCTACAACTATTAGGTGGATATTTTGCCCGCACATTCATGAATGCAATGAATCGTGAATTCCCTTCGTTTCTCTAAAAGAACTAAAACATGGAAGAGGCCCTAAAAGATTGGGGGAGAAGAAACGAGGAAAAAGAAATGAGTACTGCAGGGGAGCAGATTGAGATAACTATAGATCGACGCTGGGTTGTCTCATTGAAGGACAAGTTGAAGGTAACAGAACAGCCGGCTTGGCGCACCGAACAGCCGACCATCTTCAGAGTCTTACCACACTTGCGAGGGATCGAACCAAAGGCATACGAGCCAACGATCGTTTCGCTCGGCCCCTTCCACCACCACAAGTCTCACCTGAAAGCCATGGACCACCTGAAATACAAGTATCTCAGCAAATTCCTTGGCCGAAACCCCGAGAAGCCCCTGGAAGACTACCTCAAGTTGATCAAGGAGAACGAGCGGCAAGCACGTATGGCCTACTCAGAAGAAGTGGAAATGAGTAGCGATGACTTCGTCCAAATGATGCTGCTTGACTGCTGTTTTGTAATTGAGACCATATTGCCAGAGGAAGAAGGACAAGCCACAATATGGTCGCTATCACCGGTGTTGGTGCGTGATATGTTGATTCTGGAAAACCAACTCCCTTTCTGTATCCTCCAGCCTCTGTTCGACTCTACTTTTCTTCGCCAATCCCTTGACCTCAGTAGTTTGATACTTGGTTTCCTCAGCAAGGCCGTAAGCATCAGGACGGAAAATCCCTCCGGCAAAAATT